TTCAATTTAACAAAACATTGTTTTCTGACGACTTGTTTATTTTTTAGAAATTTATATACATACATATTTTATTATATATAATAAGTATATATGTTTACAATGATCCATAAACATATACAGATATATTGATGGAAAAGTGATAGCTTATTCAACCAATATATGCAAGCACACATTTAAATACGCACATAGAGCTGCACAGATGTTTATTTGATTGAGAAAAATGATTATGGTTGGTAGAATTTTTCTGCTCTAATTTGCCAATCTTGTCCTTCATTTTGTTTTCATTATCTATTAAGTTAATGAGTTGATTGAAGATGAAGAATAAGTGTAAAGAATTAAGTGAACCTAATACGAATCAAAATTATTACCGGTACTTAATATAAATTAAATGCTAACTGCTCTTTCAATATCGATAGTATGAAAAATGATATAAATTAAGATTAATTTCAATGACCATTTTTGCGCAAATCAAAAGCCTCATCTTATGCATATTTTTCCTTTCATATGCTTAAATAATACAGATAATATCTACTTTTTAAATACGACATTTTTAATTCATTTTACCTTACGTAAATATTTTCATTTACATCGATTATAAATGACCAACAAGATCAGCAATAAATTGCTCTGAATTAATTTTCATATCAACATTATTAGTGACATTTGCAATATTATTTGCGAAGAAAAATGATCAAAATAATTTAATGCAATGAGGTGTTGGTATTTGGCATAATTAAGAATAATTTTGATGCTATCAACTTTACATACATATGTATATGTTTCTTGACTCAAAGCATGAAGTAGGAAACAGTATTAAAAATGACTTCAGTAAAAAAAAGTATTGTTATAAATTCAATAGTAAGATGGACTTAATTTTTTATTTTTAATGAAATTTCAGCACATAGACCACATGACACAGATGGTTAGCACATGGTAAATTCTATTCATTTAAATATCGCTATTTTTATTCGCAGTAATTATTCTCTTCAATACCTCATTTTGTTGACTATGCTTAGTTTTCTATGTACGACAGCATTCAAACAACTTTGTTATTAATCACTCATTTTTTTGGTTTTTTTAGGTAATAAATTTTCTTGTTTGTTGCTTACTCACAATCATTACCTCCAATCAAATCTTGATTGCTTATTTCCCATTTGAAAAAGAAAAAGCAATGTGAATTAATGCAATAAATTAATATTTTAGAACAAGAACATTCAGAAAAGCTAAGTCTCAAAATAATTAGCATAAATATTATTTTGACACCTAGCTTTTGTGAAAGTTTTTGTTCTTTTCAATTTCCATGATTTTTAAAGGATTTGCTCTAGCTTGCTTTGCTATGCGGTTTTCTGAATCAGCTGCGCAGTTCATTTCACTTATTTCTATCCTCCTTCTGGGATCTTCTTTCGAATATGGTCAGTTCATTACTTCGCACTTATATTAATCACGCTAAGCAAAGTTTTTTTCATTTCAAGATCACATTTTTTCGCACAACAAATGGTTTATAGTAAGCCCATGATTGCATTGTACAAAAAAGAAATCCTAATAGGAGAAGTTAGAAGTTGGTGATGATTTTTTGTTTCTTTTCATACAAAGCCACGCACTTAATTTTTGATTTCTAAGGAGCATTTGAATAAAAATATGTCAATTTTTGTAATTCAGAATCAGCAGAAGAAGATATTTGTAATGAGCGATCATGTTATCCAGCTACTGGCAATCTTCTAATTGGACGAAAGAAAAGTCTTACAGCAACATCAACATGTGGTTTACGTGGTCGCCAGCGTTACTGTATCGTATCACATCTAGAAGAACAAACAAAATGCTTTTATTGTGATAGCAGAACAGAGTGGAAACCTAACCGAGAACCATACAAATTAAGTCATAGGTATGTGTGTATGTGTGCGTATGCTACCTCATACTAGAATTTTTTCTAAATTGTTTTACTGAACTTTGTAAAATGAATACTTAGCATTCTTGTTTTAATTACGGTGCTAATATGGATCTTTATCATATAATTATATCATTATATATCTTGTACACTTTGTTATTGCTAAATTTAAAATCATTTGTCATTTTATGTCAAATTTTTGCATTTTAGAATTGAAAATATAGTTTCGGAATCATACGAAGATCGCCATAGAAACTGGTGGCAATCAGAAAACGGAGTCCAAAATGTGTCAATACGTCTTGATCTCGAAGCTGAATTCCATTTTACTCATCTTATAATAACATTTAAATCATTTCGTCCTGCTGCTATGATCATTGAGCGTTCTGCTGATTATGCAAAAACTTGGTCAGTATTTACAGTCTGTTTCTAATATTTCGTGTATAAAATATCTATTTGCTTTTTTAGCAAATTAGTATTCCTTACTTTATGGTACCAAAAAAAATGGAAATAAATCACTACCAAATTAAGTAGAAAAATAAATTTTTTCGTAAAGTTTTATACATTTACGAAAGGGATTACAGAAATTGAATATTTAATTGACACTAAACGATGAAGAAGTTTCAGGACTCCTTATCGATATTTTGCATATGACTGTCAAAGTACTTTTCCAAATATTCCAGAAGGGCCACCAAAAAAACATAGTGATGTTATTTGCACAACAAGATATAGTGATGTTGCTCCATCGACAGGAGGCGAAGTCAATGAACAGATCTACTTTTGATTATTTAAATATGAAAAAACATCATTTTACATAAGATTCTTTGTGCCTACGCGACTTTCATGTTATTGAAATTAATTAACAAGAAATTAACATTTTTGATTTTAAGACTTCCATCTTTGCAGTTAAATATGTAAAAAATTTCAGTTGGTATATAAAGTAATCGCACCTCATATTCCAACAGAAAATCCATATGCTGATGAGATTGCTAACTTGCTGAAAGTCACAAATATTCGCATTAATTTTACTAAACTTCACACACTTGGAGATGATTTACTCGATTACAGGTGCATTTCTGAATTCAGCAATTCTTTTTATGCAAAACCAAAATATTTTCGCAATTAGTTATATGATTAATCTATATTTTACTAGTAATGACTGCAATAAAAAAGGATTCATCGTATTGAATGATAGATATGTTAAGTTGGAAGCGCAATTTTCATTGCAAAATTCTTTAAAACAGTGATCTTTATGTTTGAGCATGAAAATTCATTAATTGATGCGTACTTTTTTATTTCTAAATTTATTATTATTTACAAGTTTTTGTCTAAATTTTACAATGTTTAGACCAGAAATTGATGAGAAATACTATTATGCTGTTTATGAGTTAGTTATCCGTGGATCTTGTTCATGTTATGGACATGCTCAAAGATGCATACCAATTGATAGCTCTGCTAGAATTTCAATTCCTTATCGAGCTGATATGGTGTGAATTCTCATTTGTTATTACGATATTTGCAGTGCATATATGCAGTATGCTTATTTACAACTGCTTCTCAGAATCACTATTGCTGTTAAAACTTAAGAAATATATTATGTTAAACTTTTGTTAATAATGTTAATGATAGGTTCATGGAAGATGTGAATGTACTCATAATACAAAAGGATTAAACTGTGAACAATGCATGGATTTTTTCAATGATTTACCATGGCGTCCAGCAATTGGGGATGACTCACATGAATGCAAACGATGCGAATGCAATGGTCACGCAGCTAGATGTCATTTCGATCGTGCTATATATCAAGCTTCTGGTAAATTCAAAAAAAGTCATGTTATTATATCAGTGGTTTTCAGATTCAGTGTAATATAAAAAAATTTTATTCTCGAAAACAACGAAGTTCATAAATGTATGGCAACAAAAAAATGTAAAAAAATTTATTCATTTTGATTCTTGTAAATTTATATTTCCCATTTGTGCTTAATGAAGAAAAAATTGTGCAAGAGCGTTCTATAGGTTTCATATCTGGTGGAGTCTGTGATGAATGTATGCATAATACGCAAGGCAAAAATTGCGAGCAGTGTAAACCATATTTTTATCGCAATCCAGAGCGGCCAATTACCGATCCATATGTTTGCTTACCTTGTAAATGTGATAGGGTTTGTTGATATTCAGTTTTATCAAGTCTTTAATAGCATATAATGAGGATAAAATATTAGAAAATTCAGCTTTATTAAAGTTGATAAAATTGAAAATCTTAAGAAATTTGAACAAACATTATTGGATATGTGTTAAAAGTTTTACATTTTGCAACTATCACAGAATTTGCTGCTTTAACTTACATCTTTACTGATATCAAACTAGTTTTGAATGTAGTATGAAAGAAGAATTGTACTAACTTTAATAGACCTGATATGATTGGATTTGAAAGTAAATAAGATATGATGTTTATTGCAGGCTGGCTCTTTAAACGATGGAATTTGTGAGGGTGAAGAAGATTTAGAACGTGGACTTGTTGCAGGCAAGTGCTATTGCAAACCAAATGTAGAAGGATCTTGGTGAATTTATGCTTTTATGTTACAATTTGTAAAGAACTTAAATGTAATAAAATATGACGCACACTTGATTGAAAATATTTCAGATAAAATTATTTCTTACAGATATAATTAGTAAAATAATAATATATATCAGCTTGACACAAAAAAAATGAGTAATGAACTATTTTATTTTTTATATTATAAAATTAGCTTCTAACTTCCAAATTTTAACTTATGTTTTGTCTAATATTATTGTCAGGTGTGAACGTTGTAAAAACGGATTCTGGAAACTAACAGAAGAAGATCCAAATGGTTGTCGTCCGTGTAGTTGTAATTTATTTGGTTCTTTTAATAATGAAGGGTGCAATAAGAAAACTGGCGAATGTCTTTGCAAGCGACTAGTCACTGGGGATGCTTGCGATATGTGCTTAGTTGGTTTCATTTTCTATTTATCAAAAGGCAAATATTTGTTATTTAGTTATGTATGATTTAGACGCATGATTCTTATTATTATATTGAAATATACTTGAATTTGATAACAATTGAAAATGGAAAAATGAATACATGGATTATTTTCAGCCCGAACATTATGGTTTAGGCGATGATCCGAATGGGTGTAAACCATGTGATTGTGATTTAGGAGGTTCGGTTGATAATAACTGTGATATCATCACTGGGCAGTGCACATGTAAAGAAAACTTTGTTGGTCGTCGTTGTGAGGCTGCAGAAAGTGCTTATTATTGCCCATCTATTGATCATTTTACGTTTGAAGCAGAAAAAGCTGAAGTCGCTGGAGTAAGTATTGTAAACATTAAATATTTAAAATATGACTGCTTGAAATTTATTTATTAAAATAAGTTTGTGATTTAATGTTAGTTTTCCACATATCATTTCGCTAGTAAATTTTCATGTGATCAATGCGAAACTTCCTGATCTAAAATTTTTAGGGAGAAATCGAATTCAGAGAGTTTGCAACAAACGGAAGACATAAAACTTGGACAGGTGATGGCTTTGTAAGAGCTAATGAGCACACTCGTATGGTATTTAAAATTGAAGGCATTGCACAAAGCATGCATTACAGAATTGTAATCAGATATGAATTGTTGCAAGTAAGTTTCAGAAATATGATTGTTTATATTTTACTGTTAATAATAAAATATTTGAAATAATTTTTGTTCTTCAGGATAATATTGGTTGGGAAAATATACAGTTGACAGTTGTGCGACCAACAGATTTATTACCAGACAGAGTTTGCAAAAATCTCTCACCTTCTGATGACTTTTTAATTGCAAGACTTTATCCGAGTTTACATTATATTGAGGTAATTATTTGGCAATTACTGAAGTCAGAATTTTTTCACTCAAATTAAAGATATGTAAAAGTTTTCCTTTTAACTAATGTAATAACATAATTGCTATTAGTATAAACTTTGTTCAGAATATTTTGCTTCAAATTTTAGTATTATTTAGATTATGCCTGATGTTTGTTTGCAAGCAGGAATTCCGTATGAAATACACATGCAAATGGGAGAAAAACGAAGTGGAATAAATGATAGAACAGCCACTGTTCTCATCGACTCTATTGTTCTTATTCCATCTACTGAAGAACTTTTCATTTCACAAAGGATTTCGACTGATAATCAACATAAGTGATTATTATTATCATTGTTATTATTACTATTATTATTATTATTATTATTATTATTATTATTAT